TTCAAGAAAGATATTTATAGTAACAGATGTCTTCTATGTCATATCTATAACAATACAAAAATTACTGCTGTTTTTATTTTGTGCCTAAATTCCCCCCAAAAAATCTGTCAAAGTTACTGGTATTTACAGTGAGTTCTATACGTAGACTTTCTTGGCAGTGATCAAATATTCACGCACCAGAACGTCTGTCCACAGAAAAATGGTGTTCATTCTATACTCATCATTGTTCATTTAATATGGTACAATTACAGATAAATAGACCAACAAAAAAATACAACAAAAAAAGCAAACAGTATAGAACTGTCAGAGCTGTAAGAAAGCTATTAGTGGAATTCTTCCAGTCCAACTACTGAAATGTTGATAGTAATTAAATACTCGAAATACTAAATGAATTTTATTGAATGTTTTTCTCTATTAAATTGTTGTTCAAAAGCTCTAAAATTTCAAAGAAAAGAATATTTGATAATTACAAGATTTTGCACAAAGAAGTTTTAGGAAGAGTGAACAAAGCTGAAGGTTAGCACATTGTAGGATATAATAGGGAATATATTTAGAGGCTGTGTGACACCTATCATTATTCAAACTTCAAGTCAATAAAAAACTGTTTTAACAGATGTGAGATAACCCCCCTGCTAGGGTAGATATGGCCTGTTTCTCTGAGCCTCTCTCTATGGGACTTTTCCTCATGAACCCTGGGAGTGGTGAACAGATGACAACCTTAAGTATGGATAACTCTCCAGGAAACATTGAAGTGAATTACTCAGACTTATTTACCTCTATATCTATTACATAAACCTCTATACAAAATAGTTTTCTTCACCTTCCTTTTCTCAAATTCAATCCCGATCAATAGAATTCTGAACTGAACATTAAAGACAGTGATCATCACTGTTTTCCACCACCTTTTGAGACTTTAAGCTGACCAGGTGATTTCCAAACTTAATCTGATATTGTCAAAGATTATTACTAATAATTGCCTTATACCTATCTGATACTGTTGACTTGGACAAAATGAGCCTAATTAGAAGTGCCGTCCATTTTACCTGTGATTTATGAAGCGTGCCAGTTTACTTTGGTGTTGGCTTGACACATACATCACAGATTCAAACACTGACTTATTAAACAAATAATAAAAAAAAACAGGATCTTAATATTTAAATGTGTAACTTAAAAAAAAATCCTGTTGTCATTTTGATAGCCGGTATCCTTACATGTACGTATGACTCTGCTGTCAGGAAGTACAATCTTTACCAATATAATATGAATCGCTTTCCTACGATTTCTGTTTTAAAGGTGGCCAAGACTCCCAGGGTGTGCTATCTGATTAGTTTTCAACATAAATCTTGAGTGTATGAATGCCAAACATCTTCAAAGCTCTATTGTATTACCACACACAGTGACTTACCAGTGACAAATATGTGTACAGATTTATCATAGCTTAAACAAACTCCTACAGTAACCTGTACAAGTTATAATTCTCAAAATTATTGCAAAAACAAGTCATTTAGATTGGTAAGTATGCTAATTGTACTGATATACATTACTTACATATAACATCCATCCATATGTAACAAAACCATGTTTTAGATTAAGATTCCAGTTTATTTGAGTAAAGGTTAACTTCAAAGTAAGACCTGACATAACAATCTCTTCTGTTAATTAATAAAAGAGGTCTACAGATCAATATTACTTTGCAATTTTAATGAAATTTAATGTTAAATAGCCTGATCACTAGAGTAGTGATGTAGCACTTATCAGGAGCTCAGAAGGAAACTGTAGAGCCCAGACTTAATGGTTAGGAGCTGAATCAATAGAAACTGAACCGGAACAGTAGAGCCCTGACTTTATGGTTAGGAGCTGAATCAATAGAAACTGAACCGGAACAGTAGAGCCCTGACTTTATGGTTAGGAGCTGAATCAATAGAAAGTTCACTGGTACAGTAGAGCCCAGTCTTAATGGTTAGGAGCTGAATCAATAGAAAGTTCACTGGACCAGTAGAGCCCAGACTTAATGGTAAGGAGCTGAATCAGTAGAAAGTTCACTGGAACTGTAGAGCCCTGACTTAATGGTAAGGAGCTGAATCAATAGAAAGTTCACTGGTACAGTAGAGCCCAGACTTAATGGTAAGGAGCTGAATCTGTAGAAAGTTCACTGGAACTGTAGTGCCCTGACTTAATGGTAAGGAGCTGAATCAATAGAAAGTTCACTGGAACTGTAGTGCCCTGACTTAATGGTAAGGAGCTGAATCAATAGAAAGTTCACTGGAACAGGAGAGCCCAGATTTAATGGTTAGGAGCTGAATAAATAGAAAGTTCACTGGAACAGGAGAGCCCAGAATTAATGGTTAGGAGCTGAATCAACAGAAGTTCACTGTAACTGTAGAGCCCAGACTTAATGGTAAGGAGCTGAATCAGTAGAAAGTTCACTGGAACTGTAGAGCCCAGACTTAATGGTAAGGAGCTGAATCAGTAGAAAGTTCACTGGAACTGTAGTGCCCAGACTTAATGGTTAGGAGCTGAATAAATAGAAAGTTCACTGGAACAGGAGAGCCCAGAATTAATGGTTAGGAGCTGAATCAACAGAAGTTCACTGTAACTGTAGAGCCCAGACTTAATGGTAAGGAGCTGAATCAATAGAAAGTTCACTGGAACTGTAGAGCCCAGACTTAATGGTAAGGAGCTGAATCAATAGAAAGTTCACTGGAACTGTAGTGCCCTGACTTAATGGTAAGGAGCTGAATCAATAGAAAGTTCACTGGAACAGTAGAGCCCTGACTTAATGGTTAGGAGCTGAATAAATAGAAAGTTCACTGGAACAGGAGAGCCCAGATTTAATGGTTAGGAGCTGAATCAATAGAAAGTTCACTTGTACAGTAGAGCCCAGATTTAATGGTTAGGAGCTGAATCAACAGAAGTTCACTGTAACTGTAGAGCCCAGACTTAATGATTAAGAGCTGAATCAATAGAAATTTCACTGGTACAGTAGAGCCCAGACTTAATGGTAAGGAGCTGAATCAATAGAAAGTTCACTTGTACAGTAGAGCCCAGATTTAATGGTTAGGAGCTGAATCAATAGAAACTGAACCGGAACAGTAGAGCCCTGACTTTATGGTTAGGAGCTGAATCAATAGAAAGTTCACTGGAACAGTAGAGCCCTGACTTAATGGTTAGGAGCTGAATCAACAGAAAGTTCACTGGAACAGGAGAGCCCAGATTTAATGGTTAGGAGCTGAATCAATAGAAAGTTCACTGGAACAGGAGAGCCCAGAATTAATGGTTAGGAGCTGAATCAACAGAAAGTTCACTGGAACAGGAGAGCCCAGAATTAATGGTTAGGAGCTGAATCAATAGAAAGTTCACTGAAACTATAGAGTCCCTATTTAATGGTTAGGAGCTGAATCAATAGAAACTGAACCGGAACAGTAGAGCCCTGACTTTATGGTTAGGAGCTGAATCAATAGAAACTGAACCGGAACAGTAGAGCCCTGACTTTATGGTTAGGAGCTGAATCAATAGAAAGTTGACTGAAACAGTAGAGCCCAGACTTAATGGTAAGGAGCTGAATCAAGAGAAAGTTCACTGAAACTGTAGAGTCCCTATTTAATGGTCAGGAGCTGAATCAACAGAAGTTCACTGGAACTGTAGAGCCCTGACTTAATGGTAAGGAGCGGGGGCAATAGAAAGTTCACTGAAACTGTAGAGTCCCTATTTAATGGTTAGGAGCTGAACCAATAGTAAACAAGTATTCTTAAGCACTACATGACGCCTCAATGGTTACCATGAGGTACACATCTTATGGCCATGCAGCTTTGGTGAAATATGAGAATTAATTGTGAAACCTGCAACTGACCAATCAGAATTCAGCTGCCTGCCGTAACATCATAATTATGCGCAGATCAGGTTCATCTTATAGCAGTTTGTATCACCCCAAAAGAAGTGATATCCAGGACAAAAATGTTACAATTAAGGTCAGAGGTTACAATATAGGTCATAGCAACCAACTTTTGGTACAGGACACTCGACCATCATACCGTCCTATATTGCAAATTTATTTAGCTCGAGGCCTCCTATTTGATATCCTCAATCCTTACCCTGTTATTGGATATTGATTTTCTTTGTAGAAGATCTGGAGAACCAAATCATCTTCTTGACCTATCATGGCCTATATCAATATGTAACTTTGCTTTAAATACTATAATATGTTAACACTATGGGAGGTAACTCATGTTCACAATCCTGCATCTGAAATCCCATATAGGGGGCTTATTTCAATTGGCATCCATCCCTTATACACCTGAAGCACTTGTATATATATATATATATTAAAGGACTGTTGTTGAATGATCAATATTAAAACTGATAAAACAAATGAACTCATGAAGCTTGCACTAGAAGACACAGGTAGTTTTCTACTGCTCATGCTCATACACATCACTAAAAGTAGGGGAACTGTGTGGATGTGAAAGAGTGAAATTCCTTCTCTGATAACCTGTTCATTAAAGGTTCAGGGAGGACACAGTGAGAGGTGTTCTGTGATTGTGTAATGCATGGAATATTTGGTCGTCTCAGGATTTCTGGAGCTATCACAGACATGTGAGGGGTTTATAGATGGCCTCCCTTTGTGGTAACAAAATTATATAGGTACGAGGATTGGAGGAGATGGCAGGTTAACCAACACACCAGCTAGAAACTTGTTTATTCAATATACAGAAAGAGGTATCATGATCATCACACCCACCCAAATGACTCATACAAAACCACTTTTCAAAGTTCTTCACGAAATAGTTGGTTTGTGTTGATAAATGTTCATACACCGTAAGAACCACATGTAAATCACATAATCTAATAACATAATACAAACTTAGGAAGTGGTTCTTTAACCAACCTCATTGAAATCTTTCCATTAATTGACAAAATCTGGTTAAAATTAGATACTTCCAATTAATACCTATCCCTTACCAGCCCAATCCTAACTTCCAACCCCGTCCATTACCACTTACCTTGTCCAATTCTGCCTTCTCTCGGATTAGTTTTTCTTGTAACTCTTTCTCCTCTCTCTGTCGTTCTGAAAGTTCCTGTCGTATCTTTACAGAGTTTTTGCGTTTAACATCTGCAAGTGTCTGTTGAAGTCTTCGAACAGTCTGTTCCTGTTTCTGACGTGTATACTCTGAATTTCGTACTTTATTGTACAGACTCTGTTCACAGTCATCCCCTTTCACCACCATTTTCTACAAAAACAGAAATGTAAGAAACAGTTTAAGACCTACTTTAATCATATGCTAAACTTGTTGGGAAAAGAAACCAAATTCATAAAACTGAGCATTTCTAAGATATTGTATCTTCTGGTAAAAGTCAGTATCTTTGTTTTGCCATATATGTTACAGAACACTTGTATGATGAAATGATTTCTTTACTAGATTCTGTTATGTAAAATAATTACTGTGTTGTAGAGGTGCCATGAAGAAAGACACTTTTGACCCTGTTCTGAAGAAGACACACTTTTGACCCTGTTCTGAAGAAGGACAGTTTTGACTCTGTTCTGAAGAAGACACACTACTATTGACCCTGTTCTGAAGGAGACACACTTTTGACCCTGTTCTGAAGAAGACACACTTTTGACCCTGTTCCTCCTATGCTCTGTGAACCCAGCCTTTTCTATCTATACCCATCTTTACCTAGTTCTACTTAACACTTCTTGTATATTTCATACTTGGTCTGTGTAATCTAGCATGTTGGTTCAACAATATAAATGCAGTGTCTGGGGGTAGAAGTGAGGACTGAGGGGTTGGTTTAGGACTTCCTAGCCAACAAAACTCTGTCAACAAAATACAAAGCAGAAATTGTTAGTGATCAATCAAATCATTATAATGCCGAAAACGAATTATTACCGACAAGAAATCACCATTGGAGTACCACCACAGGGATTTATCAAACCAAAAATATTTGACAGATATCGATACAATCTTATTTTCTAGAAACTAAAACTCATGGGTTTTTAATTCAATTAACACTTGCTTTGCCTGTGAATGACAAACACAGATCCTTATACACTAGTGACTAATCTGGCTCATTGGTGACAATTGCAACTAGGTTTTAGATTATTTTTTGCTGTCTGTGTATTATGATATGGCTCGGTGTGTAATACTACTTCAAGCAATAATGGTGACATATTGTGGCACTTTAAGAAGCATTGTTAATTCAAAATTATTGTGAATATGGAATACTTAGCAATTACACATTTCAATGTATTTATCCTAATGACATTTTGGAATGACATCATTGTTTGGTTTTCATTCTTGTTTACAGATGATGTTCTTTGAATTCATAACAATTAAGAAGTAGAGAATGCAACAAATACTCACAAAGCATTGACAGACATGTCGTTAGTACTTACTGACAAGGAAACCTGTAGATGTATAACCCCCTGTTCTCATGGTCATGTTGTGGGTCCTTACTTAATGTAAGAACTTCAAATTTCGTATGTGTACACCTCATGTGGTGAACATGGATCTGCATGTGACACAGTACTTTACATGTGTTCATCAGAAATATAATTACAAGATGTAATCTAGTCCCACTCTGTTGGTAACTGATTCTCACCCTTTTCTGAGACTGAGATATAATTTGAGCTGGATCATTTCAAAATGTTTGAACTTTAAATAGTTTAAAATGTATGCAGAAATGAAACATCTGATTATTATATAAAAGTGTTACAGACAGAAGGCAGAAATAGAGCCTAGTTTGGGGACCACCAGAACACTGCTATAGCACTGTTATAGCCTAACCTGTACCATTTGTCAATAAACCTCGGGATTATATTATGTTGTGTGTGAATGGATGAATGGGGAATTCTAGTCGAACAGCATATGTACACATATAATTACACATTTAACACAAACGATTATGCAGTAGCATAAGACCCCCTACAAAAGGAAAATATTAAATATTAAAACTTCATCTAAAATGCAGGGCCTAGAATGCTCAAAGCTATGAGTAGCTTCACAGACATTTTATGTACATGTAATTTGCAAACATTCAAATGTTGAGGTTGGTTATCAAATACCAAATTTGCTTATTATATAGCTTGTTTTCTAGAAGTGGTTTTTGCCTTGATTTCATTTATAATCCAGGAAAATGATTAAGGAGAACATTGGATAGCTGTAATATCATTAAGCTGATGAGATGTCGAGTGAATTGTCCCTTAGAATAAGTGCAGACTGTACAGGATAGAATGACTGGTTTTACAGGTCTCTGATACCAACAGCCAGGGGACGGGGGTTCCTATAAAAGGGAGTCACAGAGCATTAAATTGCTATCTTCTC